GTCAGTATATCTGGGAACAAGGAGCTAAAGCATGTGCACGCACACTGGCTTTCATTTTTATAAAATTCCGTTTATAATAATGTAGATTAAAGATAGGGCCACAATATATTTCATACTGAATTTAATATAAGTTAACTTTCCGGGTCAAAAACTGAAACTGAATTTTCAGAGCTGATGATATTTAATTTAATTTAACACCTTTCCTTTTAGAGTTTGAAAAATTGGTGATATTTTAATTCCCATATATTGATCCTACACTTAGGCATGTTGCCACCAGGGGGTGGTAATGTGCTGCCATCTTTTGGTTATAAAGGCAACCTGATTGCCTTTGATTTTCAAAATGGTGACATGAAGCTATCCCATAAGATAGGACTTGTAGTCTTTAAATAAAATGGTCTTCACGAGTTCAAAGCCAGCCTCATCAACTTAGCAAGGCCCTAATAAGCTTAGTGAAACCCTGTATCTAAATAAAATATTTTTTAAAAGGGGCTGAAGATGTGGCTCAGTGGTTAAGCATCCTGGATTCAATCCCTGGTATGAATAAAAGAATGAATCAATTAATTAATAAGTAAATAAATAAAGTTGTCTTTTCTTTAAACAAATATATATGGCTAACTCTTATAGAACATTTTAAGCTAATTAAATTTCTATTATGCAATTTTCTTTTTATTAAGAGATACTGACTTCTATTTCCTTTAAAAGATAAGTATTTTTATAAGGAGAGAAAGATCATAATCCTACCCCTATCACACCATGGATGGTCATTTTAATTTTCTCCATTTTTAAATAAGATTATATTAAATGTGTATGCATAGTTAAATCCAGTTTTGCTTAACAGTTATTATTTTCTCAAGTTGCTAAATAGACTTCATAATTAATGATTTAATAGCTATTTTCAAGGTTTTCTAGGGCATATATACTATAATAAAACAATCCTAAATATAATTTATCACATATTGAACCTACTATATTCCAGGCATTTTACATATGTCATTTCTAACCTTCACAACCTTGCTAAGCAATTTTTATCTTCATCGTATAAATGAAGAAACTGAAAAGTTAAGCATTTTTCCAGGTAGTCAAGGCTAGACTGACATTCAAATTGACTCTAGAGTCAGTACYTCTGGACTAATTATTTAAATATTCCTGTTTCCTAGAACTCAGATTACTTTCAATTTCTTACTTTTATAAAAAATGATGTAGTAAATATCTTTATCTAATTTTCCTTTTTCTCCTTTGATTTTCATTTTTGCAAGGCATTACTGGAACAAGACTTTTTTTTTGGGGGGGGGGTGTGCTGGGGATTGTACCCAGGGCCTTGTGCATGCTATGCAAGTACTCTATCAACTAATCTATATCCCYAACCCCAACAAAATATTTTTGTATGTACTTCTTGGTATATATTAATTCCTAACCTTTTAAACTCACATTAAAATTTAAATATAAAAATTTTCAGCTTTCTGGACCAAGGGGYGCTTCAATATCAAAGCCCCTTAGGATTTACTTGCTTCCTGCAGTAAAATGGTCTTAATTGAAGCTATGTCATTGAAGGTTTTTGGATTTTAGGGTCTGTGAGTGTAGAAGCAATTCGGGGAGCCCAATAGATTGTCATGGGTGAGAGAAATCCTTTACTATAAGGAGTAGAATCAGCATGAATGGGTAGAAGATGCAAGGAGGAAGGTTTCTGAACCAACCTAATAACCATCTCAGGGTAGAAGCTTTCCAGAATTGGAACTGGTCACTGAGAGAGGCTGAGCAATCTTGGTTCCTGAAAGTGTTTAAATGCAGACTGATTACTAAAAGAAGATTCAGGTGATCCTAACATGTAACTGCAGCTGAGTACCATTTTGGGGGATTAACCATTCTCAGATTCTAATTTGAATCAGAATCATGTAGGATTTAGGGAAAATTCAAGTGTCGCGCTGGGGTGAAGGTGTGGACAGAATTCAGAATCCTTAGTTTTAGGGATGAATCTACTTTTAAAATGAGTATCTCAAGTGCTTTTCTTTCTGTTATTTGAGGATTATACTCTGAAAAACCTATTTTAAACTTAAGACATTAGTTGCTACAAGGGGAGCAAGAAAAAAATTAAAAGTAAAAGGTTAGAAGATWAAAAAAAAAATACAGCTGCAACAGATTTTATGACTTCCCCTGAGAACCTGCCTGCATGCCCCTCTGTCATATTCTCTAGAATTCCAGATGCAATGCTAAAATCATCCTTCCATTTCTTTCTTACATGATTTGTTTGCTTCTTGGTTTCTACTTTGCTGTCATTATTGGACCAAGAATGAAAAATAACTAATTAACCCTGTGAGCAACAGCAGGCACTGTGAGAACCAGCTATGGGAGAGTGAACAGTCACTAAGGTCAGGATCACATCAGGACAGCCCTGTGTGTGTGTGTGTGTGTGTGTGCATGTGAGGCCTGAGCAGCCCCACTCTCTATGTCCACACTGTGACAACAGCACTGACTGACCATGGCCTTCTTTCCCCAGCTGAGACTTTTCAGAATATGTCATATTTAGGGGCTGGGGTTGTGGCTCAGTGGTAGCATACTCGCCTAGCATGCATGAGGCACTGGGTTTGATCCCMAGCATCACATAAAAATAAAGACAATAAATTCCATCAACAACTAAAAAAAAATTTTAAAAATACGTCAGATTTAGTATGAGGGCCATGATGTATTTGCTGTTAACGTTTTAGGAATTACTAGGAATCAGGGAAACCCCCAAAGTCAAGGCGAGGAAAATGTTGAAGAGAGTATTGAAAAACCTTTTCACAGGAAATGCAAGGGAGTTGGCTCAAACTAAAGCATCATATGTCACAAATTAAAACCTATTTAAATAATCTAAGTAAATGATAAAGTAACTAGACACAAAATTACATCTATTTTGTGTCTAGTTACTTTATCATTTAGATTATTTAAATAGGTTACATATTCTTTCCTATGTAACCTATGTATTCTATTTATCAAGAGGTTGTTAATGAAAGGAATCCAAAAACTATGTCTATGGTAGCATAATTATGAACCAACCAGGTAATTATACTGACCATCAGTATTTATTAAAGGGCTTATAGTGAAAACAGTAGAAAATCGATTGAGTTATAAATTCTTTTTCAAGAGTATCTGAACAAGATGTTGTTCTTAGTAGCTGCCAATGATTCAGAAGTTCCTAAAGGGGCTGGGGTGAAGGGGTGCTAGTTATTTGGGCTTCTATTATTTAGAAAGTGAAAAACATGAGAGTTTATTGTACTGGCCTGACAAATGTCATCTGTATATTTGGATGAATAGTTTTCTCTCACTGGGTTTTTTTTTTTTTTTTTTTAAATTTGGGGTGGAAATATCTACTTTTTTTCCAGGGGGAGGGTGTTGAGTGACTTATCATGTCATACTAAGCATGTTAAGCCAATAAAAATACATGGCCTGTAACTCTTGCCTGGTATTTCCTTTGGTATCATTTGTGTGTGTATGTGTGTGAAAGCTTGTTAATTCTTGAGCTGATATTTGAAAATGCAAGGGAGTTGGCTCAAACTAAAGCATCATATGTCACAAATTAAAAAGAATCCACACTACGCATTTCTGTAAATGTGCATTTTGGACATTTTGGATGTTCTTGTTCACTGTAAATTACCATTCACCATCCCCTCCCTATCTCAAGTAGTTCAGTGAACAATCTGCCCATCTATACCTAAAAGGCAAGAGTTCTTTCTTTCCTTCTTGGCAGGAATACTTGGAAATTTTAAACAATTTAAATATCAACTGCCTTATGTTCTTCTTACCCTTTAACGAAATGTCAAACATTCATATTTTCAATACTAATGAACAACCACCAATTGTTTTAATTTCATTATTTTCTCAGCTGAAAGAGTGCTTACAGAGCACAGAAATAGCTAAGCTTTCTTTTTATAGATCTCAGTGGTGAGTTTAAAACAAGTTTAGACTGAAAGAAAAAAATACTGATTTTTTTTTCCCCTCTGAGTAGAATTCTCTCGATTAAACTGGCCTTCATTATCTACCCATCAGTTGAAAAATAAGATCCCAGGAGAAGATCTCCAAATCTAGGGCTTGTGAGGGTTTTAACAAGCCATTTGCTGGTCTCCAGGCAGGACTGAATTCTATTTGTACTGACAGCAATTCTACCTGTTCTTAAAACTAGCTAGCTCTGCCACCTTAAATGGTAACAAATTCTAGGAGAGATGGTTCGGCTTTCTGGCTAGTATCCAGGCACAGCACAAGGTGCACCATGGCTCAAAACCAGAACTGCCATAATTTTGAAATTCAACTTAAATGGTGGCTCTTCCACCCACTGGCTACTCCACGGGAGGAGTGTTAAGAGATTTTGGAAATAACATTTGCTCTTCTAGTGACGGATTTCTTTTTTAGTTCATAAAATGACATTCTCTAGATTGGGATAAGTAAATGTATCTTCCAAAAGGATGTAACATTCCTCCTCGGCCCTAAGGAACAGTTTCAGATGGGGAGATGAAGGTTGAATCCTTGGGTCCTGTTGCTTGCTGTATTAGGACAGAGTGAGCCAAGTGGGACCCTCAGCTCACACAGGCTTGTTTGGAAAGAACGTGTGGGGAAAAGTGCTCCCATAGGAAAAGTGATCTGGGCACCCACACTTCTGGGGATAAGAATGAGCTGTCATAGTCAGGGTAAGGAGAGAAAAGAGTGTGCCAAGTGCTTATTCTATGGAGTGTAGTTTTTGGCTATAGCTTCCAGAGCTATGGATTTCCTGACATACATTAAAAAAAAAAAAACACCAAAAAACAGGATCTCCATCACCTGAGTCATTTTTCCTAGACGTCAGTTGTGTACCCCTTTTGTTCAGAGACTGCTCACTCCAAGGGAGCAAGGAAAGAACTGAGCTTGTAATTGTCAACATATGGTAGGTTCCTCTCTTTGTACCTAAAATTACTTTCTAATTTTTCTTATTTCTGTGCAAACAGCTTTGCTCTTATCTGTTTTCAGTACGCCTGAGGGAACTGAGCACTTACCTGTTTAGTCTGTACTGATTATGGTACTCTCTTTCCTTCACTGCGTTATATTCATTTTGATACTTGAGCAGCTGTTCTCTCATCTTGGAGACCTCAGTGGAGAATGCGTCTGGGAAACTATCAGCTTGCTGCAGGTGAAATTGCTGCTGTTGTATTTGCTCAGTAAAATTTTTGGCATTCTGTAGCAGCTGGACCTCTGACTCTTGGGTGCTGGGTTCCAGGAAGACAGATTTGCACAATGAGAAAGGTACGCCCTCCATACCCTTGGTTGCTCCTGTGGGAGGCATGGAGCTGCTCCCATTCTTGGGTTCAGTTCACCTCAGTATTATTTGGGGGCCAAATACTGCACTCCATGCTCAGGTGAATAAGGCTCAGCTGCTGACCTCAAGTTGCTGACCATGCAGCAGAGGGAATTGGTAACTGGAATGCCTGCTGACAAGTCCTACCACTGATGTCTAGATCCAGACAATGTGAGGTTGACAGAGAAAAGACTAAATTCAATGGGATTATGCACATTTCCTCTGACTTTGAAGAATGCCAAGACTTCCAAGGAAGTGGGGAAATGAGGGCAGTCCCTTGAACTGCCCCAGAAATCTGGCTTTCTTGAGTTCTCCTGACTTGATTATAGAAAGATCTTTACCCTTTTAGGAAGAAACAAACTTGTAATGGCACTTTACAAGGAAACTAGGAAGAAAAATTCACCTGTAAAGATAGGAACATAAATTATGGATTTTTAAAATCTTAACCCTGAAGCCTGTCCAAAACCATACTTGAACACCACAGAAAAGGAGATTCTATTACTCCAATTATATTCTATGCCCTAGGCCCAATTTGGAAAGGGTGGACATAGAGGCAGATCTGGATGGATATAGAAATTGTACATGGTCAAATCCACAGAACCTTCTATAACACACCAGTTTTATCATCAAACATGACTTATCTTTCTGAGAAACCCTCACATTAGCTACCCAACCTATTTGGGGCAAGGTCTGACCATTTCCTGTTTTAGAGTCAGTATTCTCTTTGGGTGTGTGTTCTCCACCATCTTCAGGTTTTAGCTCATTTGCAGAGTGCCCCATAATTTTATCAAGGCTGTTTCAGCTCAAGTTATCAGCTCCACCCATTTTCCAGGCTTTAATATGTCAAGTGCCCAATGGCATCCAGCAAAAATGTTTGCTATTAGCAGAATATGTTCCAGGCACTGTGTTGAGTGCTAAATAATAACTGACTACAGCTATGGTGAAAACACATATATAAATTCCACTAATTAAACTTAGACTTTTTTTTATTTTTTGGTTCTGRGGATCAAACCGAGGACTCACACATACAAGGAAAGCACTCTACTACATAGTTACTAGGGTTATTCTCTTATAATTCAATTTCCTTGCATGCTCATATACTCTGTGAATCTAAAGTTATCTGCTCTTAATAAGACATACTTCAATTACTAGACTACAAAATATTGGATTGGGCCATAGTGTATGTTTTCCCACAGAGAAGAGGAGGACAATGTGGTGGTTGGGTTCTAGTCAGAATGGAAATGACAATWCATCCATAAATTCTTAAATATATTTCAGCAGAAATATATTTCTGTGTCTGTAGGAGAGAATTTAACAACTTTTATAATGTGGTGTTTATGGAAAACTCAATCAGTTTCAATACCTCCAGCCTACACCTGCCTGCTGCAACCCTAGCACAAAAGCAGAGAGTGTATGTCTTCATGCCTTTAAAGGCCCTTCAAGCAGTGGGCATAGGATAGAGTGGTTGGTGTTTACAACGCAGAGAGAGGAAACTTTCGGGTCAAGAGGAGGTAAAATGTGGGTAGCAGAAGGGAAGTAACTATTTTGTAACATGACCTGGAAGCAGGAAGAAATAATACCACAGCCTTGCTCCTACATTGATATATGTCACTAGAGCCCAGGGATCTGAGTTTTGGGGCAGCGACCATTTGGGGAAGTTAAATCATTAAACCCTACAAGCTCCCCTGGGCTCCAAATAAGAGCTATCCAGAGCACAAAAAACTCCGCAATATCCTTGTATCTTCAAAAAGGCTTGGAGGGATGCCTTGACATCTGAAGAGTCTTCTACCAGTAAAGTAGTTGAGGTACGTTGAAGAAGATGTCTCCAGATTTTTTACCTACAGCCTCCCAATTCCCGAGTCTTGAGAACAACTTACTGGCAGGCAGTGCCAACTCTGGGGGAATGGATTCTCCATGAGGTGCTGGGGAGGAGGAGCCAAGGCTGGGGGCGTTAGTATGGACTGGGGTATAAGTGAAGTTCGCACTGGGATGTAGGCCTGCTCTTCTCCCAGCCATTCACTCTTCCCTCTGCTTCCACCCTCAAAGTACCCTACAGACACAAGACCTGGGCATGTTAAGAACTAGGGGCATTGGTTGGGGATTGGCAGAAGAGGATGACTGGGAACTGGTGGGATGGAGCTTTTGATGAATATATCATATAAGGCTCTGAGGCAGGAGGTGAGGAAAGGAAGGAGGTGGCTTATGAGTGTTAAGAAACAGCAGCAAATTTGTCCCTCTCCTTGTTTCTCTACTCCCCTACCCCCTTGATTCCCAGTACCTAATAGCAGGTACTTGGAAAAGCTCCTGAATCATCATTCTATGGAAGCTTCTTCTGGCCTGCTGCTGACCTGGTCTTGGCTAAGGTGAGTAGCCTGGCATAGGAAAAAGAAGTGAGAAGTAAAGACAGGCATCTTGGCAGATGTAGGCTGGGGTCATCATAGAATCTATACCTCTGAGTGGGGAGGAGAGGTGGGCAGGAGTCCTACAGGAGTGTTCTGCAGCACAGGCTATCAGCATGCCACCAAAATCCCCTTGTCTCAAGCTTCAGTATCACCAGCAAGCACTTGCATACCTCTATCTCCAGCTATAAAAGCTTGCTTGACTTCTCCAAGGGCAAGCTAGAAGTTCCAGGAACGAATCTCACTGGGAACAATTCTTTAATCAATGAGGGATGGAAAAACTGGTAGTAAATATTCCAGTTTTGTTATCCCTCAGTGGCAGATTCTGAGGTGCATTCTTCATAGTCACTCAGAATGTCCTCTGTGAGACTACACCCCAGTTGCCCACAGTGTAAAACCCACAGAATGACCCACCCCAACTAAACTCCTTTCCCAGTCTCACTTCCCCACTCTCCCAAGATGCTTTTTTGAGTCATTTCTCAGACTACTTGAACTCAATCCTTGTCTCAGGGTCCAGCTTTAGGGATACTATCTTTGAACTGAAAGATAGGTCCTGTTACAGGTAAGAAATATAGATATGATAAAAGACATCTCCACATTGATAAAGAGCTTACCTCATCACGGTGTCATGCAGCAAGGTGTACTTTGCTTTTAATTCTGCCATTCTGGTTCCAGGAATTTTTCCCATGGCATGTAACTAGCAAAGAGAACATAAGGTCACCATTAGCTGTCACCCCCCTCATGTTTAAGCAGAAGATAAAGTGACATACTAATATCTTACAAAATATTTCAGTTAAACATCTGAGAGGGTACACGTGAGGCAATATAGCTTACTCTAAAGATATTGGGTATTTAGAGAAAATAGCTAGTTCTATTCTGCCTCCAGTCTCTGTTCTTGGACAAATCTTTTGACTCTCCAGGCTGTGACTTCTTCATCTGGAAAGTGAAATAACTAAATAAAATTATTTAACTCTAGAAGTATATTTCTAGGATTAGCAAACAACCTGAATATTATAGATTACTAGGATGGCCATTTGTAAATTGAGCGAAGCAATGATTAAGTACCTATTATAAATAAATTATTCATTCTTGAAAATATTTTATGAGATAGGGATTATTATCTCCATTTGAAACTACAGTTTTGAAGAGTTAAATAGTTTGTCCAAGGTTACAGGTAAAATGCTAATTGAGACAGAGGCAGGATTTAAACCAGGTGGTCTAGGTCAAAAAACCCACATCACTGTCCTAACCTGATGGATGCTTCTGCCTCTACTGTCAAAGCAGCAAGGAAACTATCCAATATAAACAGAGGTGTTAGTTTATTCCTTCTTTTATTTCTGGTAAAAAAAAATTTGACTTGCTCTCTGAATAGCATGATAATTAGTTAATAACATCATAACATTAAACACCAAAGTTTTACCTTATTAAAACCACAACACAATGAGTATTTTGAATTAGGTTTCACTTTAAACTGTTACTGACATAGTATCAAAAAGCAGAACTAGGGGCTGGGGCTGGGGCTCAACAGTAGTGCACTTGCCTGGCATGTGTGAGTCACTGGGTTTGATTCTCAGTACCACATATAAATAAATAAAATAAAGGTCTCTCAACAACTAAAAATTAAAAAAAAAGAACTAAAGATTTGTGTTTCAATATTGCTTGAATCCATCCACTTCCTCCCTTTCTCTGAATCCACTAGTCCAAGACACATCATCTCTCAACTAGACTAGTATGAAATTTAACTGCTTCCCTAACTCCCCCTGTGCCTTCTTCCACTCAGGAACCCCACCCATCTACTTTCCACAGAGATCTTTTCAAAAATCAAACAAGGTCTGTTTTGCTGGGTGCTCAAAACTTTCAAGTGGAATAAAATTCGTGATTCATGATATTCAAGATCCTGCGGCCCTGCATGACCCTGCCTTCCTCTCTCCGTCTCCTTCCACAGCATCCTCTTCAAGCTACAGTGCTTCTGTCACACTGGCTGCCTTTTCTTTCTTTCATAGATCTCTTTCCTTTTCTAACGTCTCTGAATTAGCCATTCTTCACTTTTCTCCTATTTCATTCCAACTTTTTCTTCATGCCTCAGGCTAAATATCAATTTATGAAAAGACCTTTTCTTACTTCCAAATCTCCTTCACCCCAAACTCTGTACTTTATAAAATATAACACCTACATTCTTTAATAATAAATTTAATTTTTTTATTGTTAATAACCATTTGTTTTTTTGTGCCTTTATTTTTGCAATTTAACACATGGTTATAAGTCCCTAGAGGAAGGGGTTTGGGGCACCTTATTCTTCATATTCCAGGTGCTCAATAAATTGTTTATAGTAATTAGCAAGTGAATAAGTAACTGACAAAACACAAAGAGTCTACACAGTGAGGCAACTGGTCTCTCTATCCAAATCAGGGYTGAAAATGTTAAATACACTGGAACTATCGCTTCTTTGTGAAAATGTTAGAGATCTTTCATGAGGGCCTGGGTTTCACTCCCACAGCCCTCATTTTTTTAAATCCATGGATGGAATAGGGTGAACGGGATCTTAAAGACCTTTTAAAGGTTTAAAATACATTCAAATGCCACCTTAAATCATAATTTATACATACATTTTAACTGAGTTACTTTGGTAAGCTGACAGTGTCACATTTTATAGTTATTTAATTAAGCACATTTATTTTGGTTCTACATATTTTTTTCCCTGTATTTTTGAGGCATTGTATAACTTATTTCAGGACTCAGACATTTTCACTGGTTTCTGAAAGGATGTTGTGCCTTCAAAGTCTTGTAAGTAAAAAGTACATAAATACTATTAATAATTTGCATATCGTGAAAGATTTCTGGGGAAAGTTTAGGCAAAGGTAAGCATTCGAGTGTATGTTAATATACATGTGTATGTACTATGAAGTAGGGGCCAGCCTTATAACTAGCCAGCTGACGAGCATCGAACCACTGGGTAAGTTAACTATGGATTTATATGTTTAAAAATACATACAGTCTTTAGTTTGTTCTTAAAATGGAAAAACCATTACTTCCTATCCACTGTTCCCTTGCATAAGAGAAATAGAAATGAATATGACATAGGCCCCACCATAAGGTAAATCAGTTTGAAGAGAGAAGAAATGACAGAATACTTCACCTATATTCAGGAGTTTTATTGTTAATAACTATTTAATTCTTTGTGCCTTTATTTTTTGCATTTATTTTCTTTGTATTGTAAGTTAAAGCAAATAAATAAAATTATAAATTATAAACCACTTCCAGAGATCAGGAGTGCTAGAATGATGGTGTGAAGAACTCAAATAATCCCTCCCTCAAAGGCATATTGATAGAACTCATCAAAATAAGCTAAGTTGGGCTAGGGATGTGGCTCAAGCAGTAGCATGCTCGCCTGGCATGCATGCGGCCCGGGTTCGATCCTCAGCACCACATACAAAGATGTTGTGTCTGCCGAAAACTAAAAAATAAATATTAAAAAATTCTCTCTCTCTCTCTCTCTCTCTCTCTCTTACTGTCACTTTCTCTTTAAAAAATAATAAGCTAAGACAACAATTTAAAGCCTTTGAAAATTGACCTAAGGGTTTGCAAGAAATGGAAAAGCATTTATTCAGTGAGAGACTGGCATTTGAACCATGAACTACTACATTACCCCTAGAGCTCTATGTTGCCCAAGAACTATTTCAGGCAGGTTTGATAGTCAGTGAAGTGCCCATCTCCCCACTTTTCTATTGCTCAAGATCTACTCTAGGTGGGCAGGATAGCCCTAGAAAACAGTAGCACTCATCCACCCACTCTTGGTTTAGTATGCTGGAAAAGTTTTACCAGGTGGGTAGCTGCAGCTGCTTGGTAGTACCTATTCCCACTACCAAATGTCCTGTTCTACAGGAAGAATTCTGGGCAGGGCAAACAAGAAAGTTCCTGCTCAGTAACAGAGAAGGCTGGAGGCTGGGCAAGTTGTGAATATTTGCAGCCCTGCAGCCCTGCCTTTGGTTTTAATAGGAACATAGTTTACAATATCCATGGACCAGAGAATTATAAAAAATAATAGATATAACAAGAGTTAAAAGAGGAAGCTAATATCTTTGTGATGTCAGTAAAGGCAGACCAGCAGAAATATAACAGAGAACTCAAGGCGAGAGATGGTCAAAAAAGCCCTACTAAAATTCACTCAATAATGGTGAACTAAGAAGCTATGGAAAAGCCAGAGGCGGGACCAGAGAGGGTTTTCTACTCTACCAGTCCCTGTGTTAAAGTGAGGCAGATAGGTACACTCCCTGAACTTTCATGGTGGTCCCCAAACCATATGGAAAAGGATGAAAACCATACAGGCTTAGGGAACTTAAGCACAACCCCTGACCAATCAGTATCTAGCCACTAGGCTAGAGTAATCCAGCAGCAGCTCCCAGAAAGTCAAGCTTAAAAATAACAAGGAAAAAAACATTTGAGCAGGAATATCAAAGGCTGCATACTAGGGAAGAAACATAATTTAAAGAATTAGTTTGGCCAAATGACTGAACAAGTGAACATATGAACAATAACAAAAGCAAAATGTCAATACAACAAACACAGAAGGATCAGAATCCAGAATTGTTATAATATATTATAAATTTTTATTAAAAATTGTAAATTTTTTACAACACATGCAAAGAAACAAAGTATGATCTCCTACATAGAAAAAATATAAAGAAACAGAAATTGCCTTGGGAGGATATGGATGTCAGATTCAACACAGATTTCAAAGAACTTATTATAAATAATGTTTGAAGAATGAAAGCAGTATGATGACAATTTATCAAATAGAGAATATCGATGATAAACAGGAATATTTAAAATGTTTAAATTGAAATTCTTCAATTGAAAATTATAATAATTGAAATTTTCACTGGAGGAACTCAACAATAGATTTGAGCAGGCAAAAGAATTAGTGAACTTGAAGACAGATCAGTAGAGGTTATATCATTTGAAAAAAAAAAAAAAAAAACATGAAAACCCATGAGCAGATCCTTCCAGAAGTCAAGGACACCATAAGGTCCACCAGTTATGTAGAATGGAAGAATTGTTGAGAAAGAGGACAGAAGATACTTGAATAAAAACTTTTCAAATGATGAAAAACTTTTCAAGTGATGAAACACATTAATCTATATATCTAAGAACTCAACGAGTTCCAAATAGGGCTATAACTCAATGAATATCTGAATAGGATAAAAAAGAAGATATTTACACCCAGACCCATCACAGTGATACTATTGAAAGTAAAGATTAAAATCTTGAAATCAAGAAAAGCAAAAATGAACAGGAAACAACACCCCCCAGAAACAAAACAAAAAAACAGGAACTAAAAAAAAAAAAAAACAGTCTATTATTTACAAGGAAATCAGTTTAAAAATAATAGGTAACTTTTCGCCCAAAACAATGGAGGGTGGAAAGCAGATGGATGACATACTCAGAATGAAAGATAAAAACAAAAATTGTCAATCAAGAATCTATACATCAAAAGTATTCTCAAAAGTAAAGAAGAAATAAAGACATTCTAAGACAAACCACAGTGGAGAGAATCATTGCTGACAGATTARCCTTGTAAGAAATATTAAAGCAAGTTCTTTAGGCTGAAAGTAAGTCACATCAGATAATACATCAAATCTACATGAAAAAGAGTGTATCCAAGCAAATTTCAAATACATGCTTACACAAAAACTTGGA